GAGGCAACCATCTAAGACCTTGGCAGTCCTGAGGCTGAGTTCGGAGCATTTCCGGAAGGGTGTGACACGTGACGGGTGGGCGGGGCCGAGCCACGTGCATTGCTTCAAAATCCTAAGGCTGCGGGTTGTTTTTTTTTCCCTCCCCTTTTCTAAGCGTGTGTTTTAAGTTTTTTTATGGCTTTTCCTTTCAATATCTGCTCAAGTTAGGAAATCATCCATAGTGGGGAGCAGCATCTACCAGATCTTGGTTGATTTTTGAGAAAGCTAAGCGGGGTTGGACCTGGCTAGGACTTGGATGGGAGACTATCAGGAGGTCCCAGGGCTGGAAGGAAGTGGGGGAAGTGGAGAAGACGGTAATAAGTCACTTCCAAATTGTCACCGAGAAAACCAGTACATCTACTTGCATAACAAGTTGCTAGCAGTAGAGCTCGACTGGAAGGAGATTTTTTTTTTTTGCCTCTTTTTCAAGTTTGCAAAAAAAAAAAAAAAAGCCAGGGAGCTGTTTCAAACATACATCTGATGTGCTTTGTTACTGCTATTGTTGTTCCACTTTTCCATGCATTTTGAAGCACTTTTAAAAGCTGCTCTTGTGTAATGTCATCTTGTGATTCACAATGAGACTGCAAAATGACAAACTTGTGTAATTGGATCCAGGATCTATTTATGCTTACGTGGCACCGCTTTATTTTGATCTTAGTCTCTACCGTGAAAGATATTTAAAATTTGTGTTATGATTATGCCACATGATTCTAAATAAATGGAAGTCAGATTTATTTTTGAGTAATTCAGTTTCTTTAGGTTTAATTCTCACAGACCGTACAGCAGTAAAGTGCTGTATATTGTTTGCTGTGTGATTATACAGCATGAAATGTGTTATTTCAAAGAAGTAAAATTAATGAAATGTTTCATGTTATAAACATATTTCATTTGTAATTTTAGTTCCTTTTTATTTGCAAAACAATAGTGATTGGGATAAGATGTTTTCTTCCACTACTTTACAGAATCACAATTAATATATTTACTATTGTCCTGTCAATATAAATACTTCATTCGTAGTGAATGTTTTCCTAAACACACAGAAGACTTGTACCATGCACACACTTTCCCTTGGGAAACAAGATACTAAAAGCATTGAGATGCCATTTCTTTTTCCCAGTACCAACGTTTAATCTGAATCCTTTCAAATTCTTATTTCATAGTAGTTACCGGGGAATTCTGAAGCAAAATTTCCTTATAGTGGATTCCCAGTAATAATTGCACATGTTGTTTTCTTGCCACAAGGTAGAAATGGTTTGGCACTGCCTTGCACTTTTTGGGTTGACTTCCCAGTCAAGCCAATGCCCCTTGGCTTTCCTTGTGGTCCCCCATCCAAATACAAACCAGGTCTGACCCTGCTTGGCTTTGTGGAGATTAGATCAGCTACATGCTGACATCTGCTGTGGGAATTCTGATACAGTGGGACAGAAATCCTTTATTGGTACACTCATACCTGTAAATTAGAAAAAGATTTTTTTTTTGGCTCTCTTGTTCTTTCATATAGTTTTAAATAGTTCATTAGCTTCAGCCCAAACTCATCATTAAAAAAACTAAGATCATGGCATCTGGACCCATCAATTCCTGGCAAATAGAAGGGGTAGAAATGGAAGCAGTAAC